TCATTTGCGGAAATATGTATAAAAATCAAAATGAGAAATTTAGCAGCAAATTAATACATGAGTTCACAATGAGACTTATAAACTGCGATAAAAATAACGAAGTTTGAATACAATTGCACAATCATGTAGCCCGTTTTGGCCTGCAAGAATTTTGTCTAATCACTGAGTTACCATGTCATAAAGTAATTGTTGATCTCAATTTTAGTAATACTCGACTTAGGGATGAATATTTCAATAGTTCAAAGAGAATTACTATGATAAGACTTTCTGAAGTATTTCATGTGTCACGATCGAGAAGATAAATTTAAGTTGGGATTAGTTATGTTCGTCGAATGCGTTTTAAAACCAACCGGAAGATACATCGATTTCAGAACCCTTAGAATAGTTGAACAACTTGATGAGTTCCTTATGTATCCATGGGGACGTAAGACAGACTTTGTTTTATTAAATTCATCACAAGAATCACAGCTCGAAAGAGTACGAAAAATACAACAAAATGACCAAACATACTATAAATATTCGTTGCATGGTTATCCGCTCGCATTCCAGGTATTTTTCTTTCATTGTTTTCCCCATTACATATAATTTAATTATATAAAAACTTTAATATTTCTTTTTACATATATTTCAGTATTGGATATATGAAACTTTTTCTCTAATTGGATGACAATTCAGTCATCGTATCCGTACAAGCTTAAAATGTCCACGAATGCATAAATGGCAACCTCAAATAGTATCAACAGAACATATTAGACAATTTTTTGCTGCTCAAGAGGTATATTTATTTAAATATACAATTGAATATATATTTAATTCTTTATAAATAAATTTTAAAAAATACATCTGATATTTTATTACAATTATATATTATAGTAATTGCAACGCTAAATCCTACTGAAGCAAAATTGGAAACATTCTGGTATACAAATCTTTCGCTACCAATTGACAACCAACATCATACACTAGACAACATTGTCAATGGTGAATTTGACAATGTAACACAACAAATTCCAGCATATAACATACATACACAAAAAGAACTATCCACACTTCAGATGGAATTAAATCTACTTCTGCTGGTAGTTCAAACTATGTAACTAAACAACATATGGAACAGATGTTCAATATACACAGAAAAGATGTCTTTGGTTTCTACGACAACTTAAAAACACATATAATTCAAGAATCAACAAAGCAAGAAGCTCAATATCATACAATTCTTGAAAAGCAAGAAGCTCTCTGCCAGACAATTCTTGACAATCGGAAACAATTTTTTGAACATCAGCAAAAAGACCAACAAGAGTTACAAGACTACTTCCAGGGCATACAATCTAACATGCAATCTTATGTGGATACCAGTTTCGGTTAAACGAAGTCTTACATTGATGAACAAAATCGAAATATACAAAATCAGTTATCCGACTGAAAATCACGCATGGAAACAATTGTAGCTTCTGTACAACGAGACGTGCCTTCTCATACAAGTCCAGTTGAATTCGAAATCCCTTCAACATCTGAACATACAGAAAACGTTGAAAGATCGATGAAAGAAAAAAAAGGTAAACAAAAACAGATACAATCTCCATCGACAACGCCAACTAATACTTTAAAAGACTATAACATCGACAGACACAAAAACATTAGAGAATGGATACCACAAAATCCATTAGAGTAAGATATTAAATTTAACCTCGTTAACTTAAACATTATAATTTGTATTTTACTTATTTGACGACAATTTAATTTTTTCTTAGACAGCGTATACTAGAAGGTTGAAATCGACAATCTATACAGAAGACAGTCGCTGATAAATATGATAAATCAAACGAAAGATATAAATATTGTGGTAAGTCAACTTTAGTAATCATAATTAATTTTATTCCATTATTAATATATCTAATTTACATTTTTTTTTACTAGCATATTGATATAGAATTAAAGCTGTTGAGAATGCTTATTCACGATGGATCTTCCATGCTTTCTAAAGAATATGCAATCATGGATCTTAGATTCGAGAATGAATGTGTTCATTGGTATACGATTATAAAAGGAGGAGCTGTCCAGTGTACAAGTAATTTCAATGCATTACAACAGTACATAAAATGAGAATTACTTGTTTCTGCTCGTCCGTGGATAACATACAACTATTTATTGATTCCATTTGTATATCCAGGCAACACTTGGTTTCTTTTTCTTATTGACTTTCAAAAGTGAAAATTTCATGTATATGATTGCAGCCACAATTCATACATCGGACGCAATTAAATTACATGCAGAACCAATTTTGACTGTAGTACAATCATTATTGGTATCTACAGATATTTTCTTCGGCAAACCAACTTTAAGAAAACATATGAAATTGGAAATCATACCATATCTACCTTGTCAAAATAATGGGTAAGTGTCTCAACAATTTACTGTAATATTTAATTTTCCATTTAATTCTATTTTACATTTACAACATTAACATAAACTAATTTCAAATTATTTTTCCTATAGGCCAAATTCTGGAATTTTCCTTCTCAAATAATTGAATGCTTCGTTTTTGGATATCCACTAGAAGCAGTTTCACCAGAGAAGATGCGTGTATACACACGAAAGATTGTCACAATGAATATTTTTTATGTCCATGTTTATCCTAACCATAACAAATTATGAAAATTTAGTAAGATTCCTTTATCAAAATTCAATTTATAATCTTATATTCATAACTTCAAAATTATTTATTTTAAATATTTCTATACATTGGAATAAATGTAGGTTCTTCGGTGGCAAATATGAGACACTACTTAACAAGAGAGATTTCAAAGTATCGCAGTAACATTTTGTTCTGGACATGATGATTTTTTATGCTGGACACTAAAAACAAGATATATCAGTTCAACGGTGCAAGCTCCGATATTCACGAAAGGGCCAACGCATTAGAAGTAATTGAGTTTTTGTAAGAAAAATATCATGAAGGGACGTGTGATGTTGCAATTGTAAGTAAGAACTCTTTTAGTTGTTATGGCTGTAATTCTATTTTCTTTTATATAGTTGTCTTTTTATAGATGCTACTTCTATATTTATTTTAATATCTATAAATATTGTTCCACACTTTGATGATGGAAAATTACAAGTTGAGTAAAAAATCCACTTGAATTGAACAACTCTTTGATTTTTAAGTTTCTTTACTAATTTACATGTATTATTTACAAGTAAAGATTTCATTTCTTCTTTCGTTGCATCTTTTCATTTCTCAGATTTAAAGCTATTCATGGCCTTTTCATAAGATGAAAGTTCTAGAGTTCGCCAGAGATAAAGGCAAAGTCATTCAAATGATTTATTTCATACCTTGGATTTTGTTTGACTTGTCTCCTTTCTCCATCTCTAATCAATTGATAATCCTGAACACTTGTCTCAACAGTAGGAACATTTGGACTTTCAATTTTAGTCCCAACCTCAATTTGAGCAACATTTTCATCAAGTTGTTGAATGCCAACTTCAATACTCTCAACTTGAGTGGGGTTTAACCTTGCTAGCTTTATCTCACTCCGTAAAGAAGTATCTTTATTTTGCTCTTTTAAATTATAAATTTCATATTTCGGCATTTTTTATTCATTAAATACCATATTTCAGCAATTAACGAACTTTAAATACCATATTTCAGCAATTAACGAACTT